AAAATAGGAAAACGAAGAAAATTGATTATTTCATTGGTGTGTCATATCCATAGGGGGGGGGGTGCAAAAAACGCTTTGCCGAGTCACATATCAGTAAAGTTTACGCAGCCCAGACAGAAGACGTGGATACGAGTACCAGGGCGGAAGATACCCAAGATGTTCCTCGATAAGCAGGAGCTGGCTCTCGCCCATCACCTTCATGTACACCAAAATATGAAGTCATCTCCAGTCGCAGCCTGACTGGAGAAGACCTATGGAATTCACGTCACCTCCAAACAGCTGCGAAACTTCTTGTATGGAGTCACCCATGGACAGCTACCTGGGGACCAGCACTCTTTGGAAGACCTCCAACATCGAGCAGCTCCGACAACGTCGCTACGGTCCAGGATATCATCTTCACCGCAGTCGCCAAGGCGCGGGTTGATGGTGGGACCGGACGTACCTGGAATGGGAAGACCGATATTTTCTTCGTGGACCCCGGACTGGAAGTGAGCGCTGACGGTTACATCGAACACTCGAGGAGAATATCCTGCCTTCATGTCGTCGCCTGTACCATCTTGGAAACTTCGTACTGCTACAGGATTGGGTGCCAGCACATGGAATCGAAGGGCGTTGGAAAAACTCTCGCCTACTTGGAATCGAAGGGCGTTGAGTACCTGAAGAAGACGGAATATCCAAGTGTGTCACCTGACCTGAACCCCTCGATTACCGGGTTCGGGCGGAGCTCAACAGGGTGGTCTACAGTGGCGGAGAAATCAACGACCTCGCTGAACTCAGGCACCGAATCACGGTCGCGTGGCAGAATCTCTCGATGGCGTTCGTCCAGAAGGCTGTGGCGGAGTTTCGTGATCGTGTGCAATGCGTTGTTGAATTTGATGGTGAAAATGCTCACTAAGTACCTAAAGAAGTGTAACCTACAGGGGGGGGGCAAAAAAAGTCACTTTTCTTCATTGACTTTCGTGGCGCTATAAGTTACACTTTATAAATTCTAATCGGACATTTCTACCACCATATTAAAGAGCATATTAAATACTATTATAAAACTCCGCCACAGCCTTCTGGACGAGCGCCATCGAGAGATTCTGGCACGCGACCGCGATGTGGTGCCTGAGATCAGCGAGATAGTCGATTTCTCCGCCACCGTAGACCACCCTATTGAACTCCGCCCGAACCGGGTAATTGAGGGGATTCAGGTCAGGTGACCTACTTGGATATTCCATCTTCTTTAGGTACTCAGCCCCCTTCCATTCCAAGTAGGCGAGAGTTTCTCCAACGCCCTTCGATTCCACGTGGTGGCACCCAATGCTGTAGCAGTACAAAGTTTCCAAGAAGGTACGGGCGACGACATGTGGGGAGGATATTCTTCTCGAGTTGCTCGATGTAACCGCCAGCGCTCAGTCCGGGGTCCACGAAGAAAATATTGGTCTTTCCATTCCAGGTACGTCCGGTCCATACCATCAACCCGCGCCTTGGCGACTGTGGTGAAGATGATGTCCTAGACCGTGGCGACGTTGTCGGAGCTGCTCGATGTTGGAGGTCTTCCAGATCGAGAGTACTGGTCTCCAGGTAGCTATCCATGGGTGACTCCATACTAGAAGTTTCGCAGCTGTTTGGAGGTGACATGAATTCCAAAGGTCTTCTCCAGTCAGGCTGCGACTGGAGACTTCATATTTTGGTGTACATGAAGGTGATGGGCGAGAGCCAGCTCCTGCTTATCGAGGAACATCTTGGGTATCTT